TCTTCCAACGCACTGCCCCTCCAAACGTATAACCTTGGTCTTTTCAAAACTAGAATCGACAGTTTTGTTTTCACATGAATACCTTTTTCATATGTATAATAATATGTAATATTATGTACGTAATATGTGTACTGGAATTTGGTGATGAATGAAAGNNNNGTGATTGATGCAGTCTCAACCAGGTCTAAAACAAACCGGATGATTAAGTGTCCACCAGTCGCGTTCGGCAAACACTCATCAGAGTATGAAACCGACGAGAAGCTCTGAGGGACTATTCCGTTTCCTATAAACCGCCAGGATAATGAATTTATTCGAAACCTTTTCACAGTTCAACATTTAAACCAGACGCTTTCTCAACGTTTAAATGAATGGAAGGTAACGGTACCCAAATACTAGTGTATCCCAAGTAATTGTTCTACTTCTGTGCTGCAGAGCGAGGATCGCTAAAATGTGGTAACATTTAAATTAGGATGAATTAGCGGCCAACAGTATAAAGATCAGACGATTCAGGCTGGAAAAAATCGAAATGAAACTGCCACAAGGAAACCTCAAGAAAAAAAACATTTGTTTCATCTGTGATAGAGTTGCTTTGCGTATTGGCTGAAAAAGGGTACTGAACCATGGGTTCCGTAAAAAGGTGTCATAAATGGTATACAGTCTGTGAAATTGAATGAGCACATCGAAAGATGCCCGCTGTTTTAGTTTTCTGGAGCAACGGACTCCTGAACAACTTTCGGTATCTGAATTTACACTTCTAGATCTCGTTAAATATGACATGACAATCAAATGTTAAAATATGAAGTAAACGAGAATCTGAGGTGAAAGAATTTGTTTCACACGGAAGAATAGAGTATTTTCAAACAGCGGTTTATTCTTCCCAGGTAATAATGCACCAACAACAGCGCATTTATTCACTAACCGGGCGGTCATGTCACTGGTGCAGAAATGCCCTTAATCCAATCTAATGCACTCACATTGCCCCACGTGATAGTGATAAAGCAATTGATCTAATTCGGAGTGGCACAAGAACATGTTTTAGATTGCGTTTCTAGGGCAGTAGGGCATGTGAGAGCAGGATATGCGAGCTTTCAGGAGAGTCGTGCAGATCGAGACCACCCTTAATGAGGGCCAATTACCATCAAGCTGCAACAAGCAGGTAAATGGAACAATCAATAAGATACTGCCAGGGGACCACAAGGTACAGTTTGGCTGCTAGGTTGTCAACAAAAGTTAGAAATAATGTCAACCCAAAGTGGTTCAATGACATGCCTATCATTTTGAGATCTTACATGATCCACTGCTGTGCCACCATTTCCCAGGACCGAATATGCCCTTGTCAATGTGACGTTTACTACTCCTGTTGTTCGTCACCCCAAGGTGATCAACCAAACTCATCCATTTGTACCGAAATTCTATTCAAGTCAAGAAGCG